ATCGCCAGCGTTTGCTTGTCTACTGGAAGTGGCCTTTGCGGTTGATAGCCAATTTACTCGAATCCGTCAGTGGATAGACGATATCCCAAATCTAAGATCTGCAACCAGCACATGATGCCGAATTTACGCCCGCATCGACCTTTTATATCTCACTATTCGATTTACCCGTGAGCCGGCGACAGTACTAGGGGGTGAAAGAGGCTAATATCAACTCGTGTTCGTATCACTGCGCCTAGTAATCAGGCAATGTGCTGTACGGAGAATTTTAGTGTCCCAAACGAAGATGAATATATTCTGCTGCATACTATACTCGGGTTCCACAGGGAGTCCCTAAACCACAGTTTATGTCGTCCCTAGTGGAGAACAAAGAAATCGGTCCTACCAATACAAGTGAACATATAAGTCACAAGAAGTAATTGAAAAAAAGATTCGATCGCTGGGACAACACTTTTATTTGCAGGCCGTTTTGAAATCTATCGTGGATTCTTCATCAAAGACATGAGCAGAAAGCAGTAGCAGTACTGCCCACTTCTGCTACTGCTTTCTGCTCATGTCTCTGATGAAGAATCCACGATAGATGTCAAAACGTCAGGCGAATAAAAGTTTCGTCTCAGCGATCGAATCTTCTTTCTAAGTCGGTCTTAGTGGTACTCGCAAGATAGGCTGACTGACGCGTGCAGTGAGCCTGCACCTATTGTGGCTCTGTACCATGAGGGCGCATACCAATAAATCAGTGAACAGAACATTGATCCCTAGGATGGACTGTGCCTACACTGTACTAAATAGAAACGGCGGTCACATAGGCTTTTAGCATGGTTCAGCGGACATTCCGGAGACCACTACTACCGCTGTGCATACGTGTGGCTGGTATGAGAAAAGGCCTCACTCCGCATTGCCCCTGCGTCTAATCTGACCACCAGTCGGCCGGCAGGCTCGGACAGGTTAGCAACGCATAAGCGAGGGACGAGGAGGGTGGTACCGACACAGAGGCGCCCTTCTCCCTGGCTTGGCTTCTACCAGAACCCGATGGGGAGGCAGTTCAGTGTTACATGCGACAGAGGGTCAGGCCACAATGATTTTTCCCTAATTTGACCGCTATGGCACCCATTCATGTGCGATTAGAGACCTCCGGCTCTTCAAGTCCAGTCCGTATAAAATTAGGATCAGTTTAATTTTGACAAAAACCACAGCCGCGTCTAGTTACAGTGGTCTTGGTTTTTTAATACTATCAGAACAAGATGGAGAAAATGAAGCCAGACAGACGTGATGCAATTTCACTGCACTGTAAACTAAACTACGTGCATGTAACTAATAGTGATCCGCGTCGTTAAAAACAGAACCCCCCCGCCTCGGTAACGACACCGAAATCCGACTTGTCTCGGTGCACCCGTTTTAGGTTGACACGCTGCTAATTAAAAAAAACGATGGAATCGGTCGTCGGAAAATAAGGCTTCATTTTGTAAGATAGGCTCCCATGTGAGAACATCAACAAGGAAGGAAATGGGGGGAGGGGGACGCGTCTGACAATTTACAAGAAAGTGAGCGGAAGAAAGCTACAAGGTGAGGTCACGAGGAGCCCATATAGTTGACACATCTTGAGGGATCGGCAGGGAAGTAGACTTGGGCTTTCGTCATCAGTCGCTTGATAGCCTGAATGAACTTGCGCTGTGTTTCATCGTTCAGCACATGAGCCACGTTCTTGGCGTGAATTTTCTCCTGGGCTGTGCGAGAGTGGATACCGTGACTTGTAACACCCAGGGGCCAGGGAGCATTTCCAATGGCCAACTCGAGGAAAGCGTCATTTGCCTGCAAGTAAAGTGGATAAATTTAGGCAAGTTACGCAGCGAAACTATAAAACATTAATTTCGTCCAGAAAAAAGGTGCAGAGGTTGTCAGAAATGTCTGACGACTGACGAAAAGTTAGGCAAGAACAGATGACGATTATCGCCGAAACCGAGGTTGACCTCAATGTAATGTCAAGTTTTTCGGACAAAAATGAATGCTTTTAACGTAGAGGGTCAATGTAAAGCACGAAACTAGAGAAATAACAGAGCCTAAATGAATAATTTAAAAAAATACAGACTCTTCACCGTATCGAGGGGAAAGCAGCATGCTATTTTTTTTCAAACGAATCGCTCTTGGTAATCTCCGTAGTATAGTTTCGTTTGGCCATCTTCATGGCACAGGAAAGCAATGTTTAATGGATACACATCCTATAAGTCTGACTACATGAAAAACGAGTAATTAAAAACAGGAAAGAAACGAAAATTCTGGACTTCAGAAAGTGACTTATCAATAGCTTTTCATGTCTGACGGTTTTAAAAATGCACGAATAGTAACATGAGAACTGATTTCTTGTTTTAAAAATATTTGGGTGACTAAGATAGTCCACATAATTTAGCATGACTATCTATTTCTTCTCATTCCGGAACGCCTTGGTAAAGACAGGAAACGTGATTTCTCGAGTGCCCACGCAATCATCGCTACAAGCTCTATTTGTCTGAAAGTGAAATCCATTTTCAGTTTCCCAAAAGGCCAATGCGATGAGTATGTTAGTTTTGGACCTATTTTAGGCGGTTTCACGTGCTCGCTAAGGTTGTTTTGAAATTTGTCTTGAAAGAGTTTCTGCATAAAAATGACCCTCTCTTAGCGCACTTTGACATATCCCATGACCAGCAGACCTCGAAACAAATAAAATCGGCTTAGGAATGCGGAGGTTTGACGGTGACAGTCACATGAAAGCGGTGTTAACCGATTTGCCGAAATTGC